GGGGGGAACAATTGCCCCATTGCCCGCCCTCCCCCCAGATCCACCACTGCTCTGGTGAGTGGTTGCAATTTGGGCATGGAAATACACATCCCTTAAAGCAACTGATATTAGCAAATCTCCTTGATGAACTACAGGAATGATGAAACTAACAGATTCCATACGAAATGTTGTTATCCTTAGAACAAGATTGAGCTGATGAAGGTCAAATATAGGTCTCTTTTTTTACCAGAAATAGGGAAGAATGGAATCCCTGTAACCATTCTTTGCCTGGTATGGAAATCATAGCCTCTTGGTGGAGAAGGGACCTGATATATTGAATTACAGCTTCCTGTTTTTGAATGTTGGAAGGAAGTCTTGTCCTGACAAATCTTGGAGAAGGAAGACCCTCTTCGAATTTTATGATATATCCTTTGGAGATCACAGATCTTGCCCATAAGTCTGGCCCTCTGGAAAAGTAATGAACGTGCATCTACTGGAGGGTCGTGAGTCAAGCCACCTTCAGAACTCCTTATTTGAGCAAAATGAAGAAGATTAACTCTTATTTTTGGCATACTTGTCTGTCTGAACACTTCTCCAATTAGAGTATCTTGTGTATTCTCTTCCAGGTCTTACACTAACTATGTACCTTGTTTCCTTCAGTTTCAGGTAAAAAAAATCTCTAATGAGGCAGATAGGGGTATTTTTCTAAACCCTTACATACATATTGATCCTTAATAGGGAACACATGGGGTGGGCAGCAGCATTGTAACATGGTTGTGTGATACAAAAAACAAAAACAAATACACAAAAATAAGCCCTGCACTAAGACTCCCACTATTCCTTGGAAGGATTCATGCCTGACATCATCTTCAGACTGGTCAGAATCCATATGGAAATTGTCATATATGTGTCTACTCCCTCTGTTGGACTCTGCTATACCTTCCACCACCGCCTGTTTGATCCATTATACCATATCATGTGCAGAAGAAGTATAGGCTTGAGGAGTTTTAAGGTGTCTGGATCCTCCTGCAATCATGACATTTTTTTACATATCCTGTAGTTTTCCAATGGCTTGCAACCGCATTTTGGACAGACAACCTGTTATATTAAAAACTGTATGTTTGTTTCCTTATTTAGACACATGGTTCAAGATTTATTTTGAAAAAATCTTCTTCCCCTGGACAGGATCTAAAAAATGTCAATACATGTTTATTTCATGGTCGTCTATTGTTTGAAAAGCCCAGGGCATAATGTTATAATCTGTCTCAAATTATTAAATAAAATATATTACAGCCTTTAAGTTCAATGATGTTCAACTCTCTTCTTCTTCTTGCCCTGCAAACAGAAGCAAGATGAAAGGGTAGGAAGAATTTGTGATCAGATTCTGTCGTTCTGAGTTCCTGCTTCAGTTTTGATAAGCTCGAGGTCCCAGTGCTGTTAAAGCTGTTCTGAGTCTTCATCCCACCAACCCAGCTTTGTAGATCAAACATATCTTTCTGACCACATGAAAGGGATACAAAGTGTCGCTGTTAATATCCATCACTATTTATCACATTATACACTAGAGGCGAAAAGCTAGGCAGGAAATTATTTCTAAAGTCAAAGAGTAAAAAAACTTCTGAACATTTCTATAATCACTGGAAATTTGTTGTATTTGTTTTTTCTTTGTGTTCTCTAAAGATCCTTAACTGAAAATCATGAAAACATAGTATGTATTGATAGTGATCCTTACTATTCAGGGCACTCTTGGTTATAGTGATGCATATATTTATAGACAACATAAAATATTTTGCTGTTGCTCAATTTTCTGATAGGGTGAAATATATCATATAAAACATTTATTGGTGCTTACTCAGCTGAAATGTTATCATAGGGTGTTTCTATTTTCGTAGTTGCAAATTCATCCATCCATAAAAGTAAGATTCTATACACTATAATGCTCCATTACTTTCCTCCAATCAGTTTAGAGTATGAGCAACATATTGCATACATATTTTTCATTCAGCGTTTAAAGGAAGTGACTTATTGGCAAGTCACGTAACGTTACTTCAGGTGGTGCTGCTTTTGCTTAAGACATCACCGGACACCTCTCTCTCCATCTCCATCTAAACAACAACATGAATTATTTTTTAATAAATACTTTTTTAATAAAAGTTTTTTAACTTTACTTATTTTTTTTTACCAGTCCTTTTTAATATATTAGCCCTACTTTTTTAGGAATTATGAGGAAGTGCTGAATATTTGGATATGTTCTAAAGCTATTTGCCTGTATGTATTTCAATTGTATTGTTGTCTTATGTCTCAAGGTGGAGAGCGAGGTCTCCTGTGATGTCTTACGATGACGTGGTCCCACCGGAAGTGGTGTTACGCAACTTGCCGATAAACCAGTTCTGGTAAACACTGGACAGAAAAATTGGATGCAATCTTTTGCCAGTCTGTTTCTCACACTCTTAAATAATTGTTGTAAAGTAAGAGGGCATTATTGCTTACAGGTTAAAATGGACTCCCAAGAACAGCACTATAAATCAACTGATAAATCCAGATGAACGGTGAAACCTTTTGGGTTTAGAGGACTCTACAGTTACACGTTTGTTTTTATTGTTTTAAATTTTTTGGTATTTTATTTTACATTTAATAAATCTATTCAATCGGTTTAAGTAAAGTGCATCCTGATGTAGCCATTTCCTGTTTCTGAGGTTTAGGGGTATTAACAACCTCAGCATAACTCATTTTCTGCTGGGACTCTAATCCTAGCTGAGCTTTAGTCTCTGACACCATTTTATCATTAGGTTCTGATCAGTCTCGTCATGTGCATGGTATATGGAATACAGCTTCATGCACTGACTGACAAGCCATTCTAATGGTAACTTACAGTTATAATACCTTGTGAGATTCATCTGTATGTCTACTAGACAGCCACTAGAGGGCACTTCCTGGTTTATAGCACAGAGTTTGTGTGCTATAGCGTTGCTGGACGTCCTCACGCTATGTGAGGACCTCCAGCATCGCTGAAATCCCCATCAATGCTTTCCTATGGGGAGGTCTAATGCGCGTCCACCACCTCTGCGGCTGGGTCTGGATGCCAGCTGAAGAAATGGGGTAGCTAGGTGTTGTGCCGTGAGGCAAGTAGTTTTATGATAAAGGGACCCCAAAAGGATGAAATTGTGCCAAACACCTCTACATCCAATCTCCAATCGAGATAATGTGACTTCCAATCCACCTGAATATTGTGCGGGCCCGGTAGGTACTCTGCCTGGACCACCAGATTCCATGTTAGACAAAACTCCCAGAAGTACGTTGCCAAGCGAGCCAACAGTGCCGACTGGGTGCCACCCATGTGGTTGACATATCGAACTGCCGATATGTTGTGCATACGTAGGTGAATGCAGGCATTTGCGATCCCCTTATCAAACCTCCATAACGCAAAGGATCCCGCTAGAAGCTCCAGAGCATTGATGTGCGTTCTGGCCAGCGCCCTCCTGTGGACACCCCTTCGCAGTGGGCACCCCAGCCATGGAGGCTAGCATTCAAGTCTATGGTGAAATCCGGCTGAGAAAAGAATATGGCCCTTCCGTTCCACGTATATAGATTGTGAATCAGCCAATGCAATTCGTCTTTTTTTCCCCTGTCCAGTGATATCATGTTCTCATATGAAACTCCTTTGTGAAGATGTGCAATCTTCAACCGCTGGAGAGCTCAATAGTGGAGAGGAGCTGGGAACACCACCTGGATTGACGATGCCAAAAGTCCAATGAGTCTCACCAAGTGACGCATGGTGAGACGTGGTCAGGTATGTGCCCTGTGAAGTTCCTTGCAGATCATCTGAACCTTTGATGCAGGTAGGCTCAAGGAGTCCTCCTCGGAGTTCACAAGGAATCCCAAGAATTCCATCCATCTGGATGGCGTCAGACAAGATTTCTCCCAGTTGATGAAAAAACCCAGTTGGGTCAGCAGATCCACCATCCATCGCAGATGCTGCAGGAGGACGGAGAGATCCTGGGCCATGATCAGAATATCGTCCAGATAAACAATAAGGCGAACACCTCAACTGCGAAGCCAGACCATAGCTGGACGTAGCAGCTTGGTGAAGCACCAAGGCGCCGAAGAGAGACCAAACAGTAGACAGTTGAAGCGCCATATGCGTTCCCCCCCAGCGAAGTGTAGGAGGTCCCTAGAAGTCGCGTCCACCGGCACCGTCAGGTACGAGTATTTCAGGTCTAGAATATCCAGCCAATCCCATCTTGAAAAGCCTGTAGCATTTAGCCACCATTTTTCTCTACCAGGAAGATATTGATGATGACCTCTGGCGGGCATAGAGGCCTCTATAGCCTCTTTTGCACGTAAGGCCGACAATTTCTCATCGATCAACCTTCGATACCGAAGGGAAAAACAGATCGGCCGAGGCTCAGGGATGTAATGAGGTGTCCCCACTAGTTCTATGTGAAACCCCCTCACCGTGTCTAGAACCCATGTGTCTGATGTGATAGATGCCCATGCTGGAAAAAAAAGATGGAGTCTGCCCCCTACACAAACAGGAGAAGAAACATGTGGTAGAGTCAAGCTTATCGTAGGGATTCTCTGAATCCCCTTGACCGCCATGGTCGACCATGTGATGGGAAGAAGGGAGATCGGGTCTTTGCCTCATGGAAGTTGGGGCGCTGATTGAAGGAGCCTCTTCCTGAGCCATGGGAATAGAAGTAGCTGCGGCCGGCCAGACGGCCCCTGGATCTGTCGGCCCTGGTAGAGACCTGTCCCTGGAATACCCTCCTCATGGAGGACCAGGCTTTATTTAGGGCAGTAAATGCCCCAACAAAATGGCCAAGTTCCTTAATAAAGGAGTCACCAAACAGGAGGCCTTGGGCATCCTTGCTAGCCTCAGTGAGGGCAAGATTAGCCAGTTTCGTGGCTTTGCGTCGCTCAATAGATAGAGAAGCATTGACGCTGCTCACAATACAGATGGCCCGTTGGATCTAACCCCGGAGTTCATCCTGGTCGACTAGCCTGTTAGGGGCCTGGTGACAGCTGTTTCCTGGTGTGGGCCGCTCGTGGTTACCGCGGAGAGGTTTCTGGGAGCCGGTTGGTGTCAGTGAGCCTGCAGACCGCCATGTCCGCTATCCACACGGCCGCTATGTTCCTGGAGATCAGCACTGACGATGAGGAGCAGCAGCCGACAGAGATAGAATCCCTCTGTATGAACTGCTACAAGAACGGGATGACTCGAATTCTTCTTACCAGAGTTCCATTTTTCAAAGAGATCATTGTCAGTTCATTCACATGTGAGGAATGTTCCTGGAGCAACACAGAAGTCCAGTCAGCTGGTCGTATTCAGGAGCAAGGTGTTCGATACTCACTGACTGTTAGAAACAAATGGGATTTGAACCATGAGGTTGTCAAAACAGATTATGCAACCACACGGATACCAGAACTAGACTTTGAAATTCCAGCAAAAAGGAGCTCTCACTACAAGGAATCTTGAACTTGAAGGAATCTTGGAGAGAACCATCATGGGTCTACAGCAGGAACAGCCCCTGCGTAGGGTTGATAATGAGCAAGTGGCAGAGAAAATTGATGGATTTATTGCAAAACTTCGGCATTTGAAAAACAGGGAGACACCGTTCACCTTTATTCTTGATGATCCATCTGGAAACAGCTTTGTGGAGAATCCATTTGCCCCTCAGAAGGATGATGCACTCACGAATGCTCATTACAAGGGGCTATTCCGATGCTGATATGTTTTTAGCATTATGTGAATACATGTTTTGTACCTTTGCTATGCCCATATGAGTTACTGACCGGCCGGTCACTTGACCAATTGAGGCACCTATACCTTACAACGAAGGTTTCTTGGACTCACTGTTGGCTACCTCTCCTCCTCTATTTTCTACCTTTATTTTCCCCTACTATTCATCTCGCTATCCTTTCGATTTCCTTATCATTATTAATAGGATAGTTGCATATATGGGAAATGTAGGACTATTTAGATAAACAACTTTATCTATAGGGGGGATTGTTTTTGTGCCTCTATTACTTGCTATAATTATTGGGACACAGCATATTGTTGTTTCGGCTTTTACTTAATTCCCTGCAGATTGTGGATTTTATAAACAGACAATGTAACATTGTTCCTACTTACTATGTTTATGTAACAATTAGGTTTGCCACAATATGGATAACTTGTGGATACTGTTACAGATCAATCTAGCAGTGATTACCAGCCGATATTAGTATGTCATATTTTCCTTTTTTGTGATGGGATTTTCACTTTGGTTGTAGGGAATGTGAGTTATTGATATTAAAGATTACTGTAGATACAATTTTTTGTTGTGTATTAGCCCATTTGTGCTTCTCTGGGGGAAGCTTTGGTAGGAGGATTCCCCTCGTTTATATGCGAGAGATATTCCTCTTACTACTTTCTTTCTTCTAGCCTGTTATCAGCCCTGACATCCTCAGCTAGATCAAAAAGCTTGGCCAGGGGCCCAAAAATGTTTAGGTGTTTATCCTGGCATGACCTGAGTGCCGAGTCCAGGCCTTTACGTGGGTTGCAACCCATCTTTGGTAAGAATTGTGTCATTTTGGGGTCCACTACTGGGGTTTCACACACCTTGTCAGGCACCACTGGTCTAGGGCACTCAGTTTATTACGTGCTGCCTTGCTAAGGGGGCTCTGCACCCAATTTTCCAGGTAACGGGCCACATGGTCCACCGGGAGCCACTTGGCCGACCTCGGGTGGTGAAGGTCATCTGGGTCGAACAATGGCTTGTCCAGCGAATCCACAAGGGCAGTCCCAGCAGCCACGGGAGGATCAGCCACAGGGTGGCTTACTGTCATCCCTGCCGTAGTGGAGGTAAGGAGATCAAGACCCAAGTCCCCATCGTCACTCTCCGAGTCACTGTTGGACTCCACTCTAGCCTCCTCACTAGACCCAATTTCTGAGTCGGATTCACTCTCATTCTGTGCTCTCGCACATTTCCACTGCCGCACCCTTTCGGCCTGGTGTGGAAAGGCTCTTTAGCATGGATTTGACACGGTGCCCTGAGATACGTCATATTGTTTCTGGAGGCAGATGGAGAGATATATATACATACACAACGAGGGAACCGGCTGATTATCTAAATAAAAATATACAAAAAAATATAGTGTAATACTGTTATACAATTTTCACACTACACAATTTGAAATGCACTCACAGGATCCTGAACGATTCAAGCTCCAATGGCGCCTCCCCTGATGATATGGGGGGCTTGGGTGATTCCCCTGGATACTGCCACTCAGATACAGGACTCCGGGTAAAGGTTGAAAAATTGCGGCTTTAATATATATAAAAATATATAAAATAAACATAAACAATGGTCCTACGCATTTCGTCCCGTCTACAGAGATATGGGAGTTCCTCAGGGACCACAATATTTAAAAAACAGTCAGACAATACAGTACAATCGAAAAAAGCAGCTGCTAACTGCTAATGTACAATGTATATGGGGATACAGCTGTAAATCTACAGAAGAAATATAACTGATAGAGCATAAATGGTGCTGTTTAACATGCACTCACAAAATGGAATGTTGATAAAGCACGTATGGGTGCCTCCCCCAAAATTATTGGGGTCTTTCCAATATCACTTTCGCCCCACATCTTCATCTCCATGCCAGCAACTGTCAGGACTTAGGATAGGTATCAAATAAGTAAATGTATTATCAAATAAAAAATATAAAATACAAATAAACTGCAGCATTCCAATGCATGTCATATTGGACTTCCTCAGGGACCAATATATGATAAGAAAATAACAGCAAAAGTAATTCCCAAGAAAGTTGCTTTTATACCCCTTCCAATTCCTACCTTATATATGGCTAATCCATTCATCAAATTGGTGGTTCTGTGGGTGTATTTCCATGTGTATTCTCTAATCACCTCTTTTCTTCTAATTGTCCATTTTTGGCCTTTCCAGAGACGGCGCTTGTTACCTTCCATGTCTCACTGTTTACATCAGTTCCCGTGCGTCACTTCTGGCGCATCTATTCTGCATTTCTCCTTATGCTCCATTGGTTGGCCATATGCTTTACACTTTCTGTTTCCTTTTCCGTTGACACCATTTGCATTCCAATTGCAATGTTTATGAGTTACAACTTCCCTAATATCACTTGATCAGCCTGATAAGCTTGTTAATCATATACAAAGCAATAGCTCAATGGTATGTTAAATGAAAACATTGTAAACGTAATGGCAAACATTTATAATGGCAAACATTTTTATATACCAAGTGGATCTTTATTAGTATGGTTATACATACTTTTTGGGAATGTTATAATAATTCTTTGTGTGGCGTAGTAGTGTTTTTGTGAACAGTGCTTTTAAAAACAAAATGTTGAATCGACTCATAACACTACCAAATAATATGTAAACAATTATTTATTGTTATATGTAGTATTACATACATGCACATTTTTTTAAACCTCTGTTTGTGGTATGGTTATATCTTAATTGTACTCTGCTCTATGTAATTTATAGATAAATTTAGGTTGTGCCCAGTTTGTTTTATTGTTTGAGCATCTCTGTATTATATGCATATATAATACAGGGTGTACATCAGCTTTCTGTATTGTATGAGTATTTATATACTGCATAGGGAGGAGTAAAATTCTGAGTGAGGAACTGCTACTGGTAAAGTCCAATATGAATTAGTTGGTAGATTCATACTGCTACTGGGTTCTCAGCATCTCTTGGCATCCTATATAAGATACCCCTGTTTGCACTCTCAGACTGGGGCAAGAGTCAGGGCCGGATTAACATAGGGGCTAATGGAGCTGCAGCTTCAGGCCCAGGCCCATGGGAAAGGCCCATTTTTTTTTTTTACACCCTACTCTTAGGTTTTCCTCCTGACTGGTATTTTACTGGCACAGATGGTATTTGAGGCTGCCTGGCCGTGCCGGTATTGCAGTTATACCGTAATACAAATGCAGATATTTTTCTCAGTATAAACGGAGATTACTCTGCAATACCAGCGCCAGCCAGTAGGGGTCATTGTGTGTGGAGAGAGGCTCTCTACTCACTGATCCGTGGGGGAGCAGCTACACAGCACAGAGAGTTCAGACAGCAGCTCCCAGCCTGCAGAAACAGACTACAGCTTAGGGAAGTGAGGGATGAGGGGAAAGGCTGAGGGGAGACATTGGGACACTGAGACACTAAGGGACACTGGGAAACCTGGGGACACAGACATTTAGAGACAGTGGGAAACATGGGGACACTGGGACACTTAGACACTAGGGGACACTGAGACACTATGAGACACTGGGAGACCTGGGGACACTGAGACACTAGGGGGCACTGTGAGATGCAGGGACATTGAGAGACACATTGGGATACGGAGACACTAATGACACAGTGTCTCCATGTCTTCAAGTGTCCTCATGTCTCCCAGCCAGTGTCCCTAGTGTCTTCATGGCTCCCAGTGTTCCCTATTCTCCCAGTGTCTGTGTACCCATGTCTCTCAGTGTCCCTAGTGTCTCAGTGTCCCCATGGCTCCCAGTGCCCCCATGCCTCCCAGTGTCCCCATGTCTCCCAATATCCACATGTCTTCCAGCCAGTGTCCCTAGTGTCTCAGTGTCCCCATGTCTCTCAGTATCCCTAGTATCCCCATGTCTCCCAGTGTCCCCAAATGTTTCAGTGTCCCAATGTCTCCCAGTGTCCCCGAGTGTCTGTGTCCCCATGCCTCCCAGCCAGTGTCCCTAGTGTCTCAGTGTCCCCATGTCTCCCAGTGTCCTCTCTTCTCCCAGTGCCTGTGTTCCCATGTTTCTCAGTGTCCCTAGTGTCTTAGTGTCCTCAAATGTCTGTGTCCCCATGTCTCTGTGCCCCTAGTGTCTGTGTATCCATGTCTCCCAGTGTCCCCAAGTGTCTCAGTGTCCCCATGTCTCACTGTGTCCCCATGTCTCTCAGTGTCCCCTAGTATCCTAGTGACACAGGACACACTGAGACATGGGGACACTGGGAGCAATGAGGACACAGACACTGGGAGACTAGTGGATTGGGTGACATGGGGACACTGACACTGTGATACATAGGGACACTGATGCCAGGCTGGCCTTCCAATTCTTTGGGAAGACATGCCCCCTTTTTGGGCATTTTCGCTCCTTTTGAATTTGTGTCAGTGGCCCATCCTTTGACACCGCCCATTGACTTCCTGCTTCACTGGACACTGCTGTTAGGGGGGATGGATTTACTTGAAAGATGAAAGCATTAATTATAGAGAGATTAGCATATTTTAAGAGAATCTGCGTTTTCTTATAGTTGAATCCTATGAGTTTCCCTCTGGCACCATCTCCATCAGATACATAACGCTTGAGAGGTATGACTGTTTTGGTGTGTTTGGTGGATAAGATTATGTAATTAGGCCCCTCATAATTGTCAGCACCAGGCCCACTGGGCTCTTAATTTGGCCCTGGCAAGAGTGAGAATGGCTCCTGGAAATCGACACATACA